TCTTTATTTTTATCGCTTCCAGGAATAAAGAGTTCCTTTAATCGTTTAATAACACTATTATTTTCAAGTAGCATAGTAGATATTCGTTTTAGAATAGAAAAAAGTCGTGTGACTGCGCACAAAAACTTGTTTAACCTGAGATGTATTTTTTACGTGTATATATATATATAACAATTATAATTTACAAATCAATCATTGAATATGCAAGTTAACACGCAAAAGAATATTTCACTAGAAAAAGAAAATTCGACTGAATAATGGTGAATTAGAGGAAACGGAGGAGAATATACTAAGAACAAAAATGCAATTCAAATATTTGCATACATGTAAGACTTTATTCCAAATTTTTAGTTCTCGTCTAATTTTTGATTTTTTGAAACAAATTTATTGAATTAGTAAAAAATAAATGAATGGTAAACATATTATTTATAATAATATTTGTTTTTTTTTATATTCTGTATATGTATATGTATATTAAATAATAACCAGTTATTCATAATATATTATAATAAAAAGTGTTCTTTCATTGAATCCCAATCTAGATTTGTTTCTTTCTTCTTTGAAGAAAGTCGTTTTTTTGTATACTTTGATGATTTTACTTTTTTAGAAGACGCCATCCATCGGGAAAATTTTATTTTGGAAAAGAAATAAAAGAAAACAAACAACGCAGCAAATATTGCAAATGGTAAAGGATCACACAAATTTTTTATATAGTAATTTATGTTACACTAGTAAACAGAGACACTTTGAATTATAAAAAAATTATATTTTTTATTGTTGATTATAATAATGAATATATATATTATTCATTATTATTAATGCGTGAGTGTTTTATGATGATATTTAGGAAAAATTTGATTATTATTAGTGAGGAGAAAAGGGAAGCTTTAATATTAATTATTTGTTAAAAATTCTATTTTTATATAAAAATTCTATTTTTTTTTAAAAAAAAAATGTACAAAAAGAAAAATTATTTACGATTATTATTAATTATAAATATTAATAATGTCTATGTATAAGAAAAAAAAAATGCGTATATTACAAATTGAAAAATGCAAATAAAATAAAGATGTAAAAAAAAAAAATGTAAAGATAATTAATATTTTTTTGAAGTGGTAGAAATTAATTTTTTATATTTTTCTTTTAATTTCAAGCCACCAAATTTTTGTTTTTTAATTGATTTTGATATAATACTTTTACGACGAGGTATTATTGGTGAAGAATTATCACTATCATCTTGGCTTTCTTCGCTTGACATTCTTAATTCTACATTACCAGCCTCAATCAAAAATTGTGAGAAACTTGAACCTTGCATCAACTCATAAACTTGATGGCTAATGGTTTCGAGTATGGATGGATGATAGTTGTTATATTGGAACACATTGGTGAGTAAATCTTCTCGTGAAGAAGCAATAATATTAATTTCTTTTGATGAGTTAGGGAGGATGTAGGTTGTTATGAGCTCATGAAGTTTTTGTTTTAAGAAATTGAGATGTGCTGGAGCATCACCACGTAAAGCCACGACGCTTTCTAAATAGTTATTGATTGTTGCGTCTGATGTTAAAGGTAAGGAAGAAGGTATATCATAATCGAATAATTCTGATGAACTGTTATTTGAAGAATTGTAAAAGCTATCGGCATAGAATTTGTATCGTTGAACTGCTAACCAGAATTCCAAATTTTCTAAACAATAAGTTTGGTCAAGAAATGTAGCAAAGTCATCCAATGAATAAGGATATGAAGTTTCATTTTTAAGAACATCCATAAGAGTTGGTTTGTTATTTATCATCATTTTTATTATTTATTATTATTATTTTTTATTATTATTATTGTTATTGTTATTCGTAGTATATATTATAATTATTATATTATGTTTTTATTAAATTTAATTTTCTAAATTAAATTTAGTTTTTAATTTAAATTTTTTTTCTAAAACACTTCGAAATTAATTTTTTTTTTTTTGTATTTATTAAATAATATTTCGAGTGGTTGGGAAAAAAAAAATTAAATTTTTAATGGGAAACGCAAGATATTTATATAAAAACGTCGCAAATTAATATATATTACACAATATAAATATAAAAAATAATAATAGATTTTTTTTTTTAAATAAACAATAAATAATATTGTCCTTCTTGGCAATCCATTTGAACAAGGTGGGGTGATGCAAAGTTGCCTGAGTATTGCAGTATTACAGTTAGTGATTAAATTGACTGAAAAAAGAACTAAGAGAACTGACTATGTGTTACGTACAACGAACAACAACAACAATCACAAACTTTGTCTATACAAACCACAACATTAACAAAGAAATAAATAATATTTCATTTAAGGAATAGCAAGAGTTATTATATCGGTTTATTTAGTGTCCTTGAATGGAAGGTTTCACTTAATATATAAATATAATATGAAACTTGTTCTTTTTTTTCCTAACCAATTATTGAAATGGTATTTATTTTAAGTTCTAAATTTAGTTAAATGTATAAATGAGATTGTATCATTATAAAAAAAAAAGAACGTTATGCTTATTTTCCACATGGTTTTTTGGGGTGCATTTATATGTTAGTAACGTTGATAATGATATGATTTCAAGTGGCATATATTTTTTTCAGTTCTAAAATGACTGAATTTTAAACCCCAATTATATTCTTGGTAGTATTAATTCCTTCTAGACCTTCTTTTTTTACACACAAATATTTAGTGTAAGAAGATTCTAGTTTCAATTTAAGTGTAATATAAATAAAATACCCTGAACTTTATTGCTTTTGCCATTCCACAAATTCATTTGTAATAATAACAAAAAAAAATTTTAACAATTGGCTTTTTTTATCTTTTTTTTTACTTGCATATTTTTTTAACAATCACATTATGATGATTTATGATAACTATTCCCAAAGATCTTGTATTATTCAAGTAAATGATTTATTAGATGATATGAATGAATCTTTTTTATTAAAAATTTGTATTACTAAAAAGATCTTCAAGAACATTCTTTTTTTGGGTAAATCGAAATCAGAGGTAAAAAATCTTTGACATCATATTTTCTTCTCTTAATATGATAAATATCATTAATAATTATAATAATTAACAATATCAATCGACTTGTACGTACAAGAGCATTATACTAATTTACTTTGGAGACCAATTAGTGAAAGTGGTTTGTGGGCAAAAGACATCATAAATATGACAACAATTTCTGAAGATTTTAGTTTCGTGATAGTGATGTGATGATGGCAGACGGAGATCAAATCAGTTGATTTTCTAGATTTTGATTTATCCACACATAAAAAATCAGTAATAATAATAATGATAATAATAATAATAATAATAATAATAATAATAATAATAATAATTATAATAATAATATAATGGTCGATAAAAATAATAATGCGTAAATACCTTAAAGACTATAAGACTATACACGTATTGTTCTCTTTAAAGTGTCGTTCGTTACTGCCCTAAGTATGATGACATTGATATAAACAAAACACTGTTTGTTTCTTTTTATTAACAACCATTGAAATGAGATGAATATTTATTATTTGTTGTTGAGTGATAAATGTGGAGGTTATGTAATTTTGCGGGGAAGAAGAATTAAATGTTTTGATTTATTTGTCGATAATGATGTCGTGATGGTAGTTAGGAAAAACAATTCAGTGATTGTTGTTTTATATTTGTTATTTATTATTTATGTTTATTTGTGTTATATGAAATTCATTTATAAAAAAATGTGGGGTAAATATATTATTTAAAATAAAATATCTTTCGTGTGCATTTACACATACACACACACACACACATACACAAACATATACACATATTTAAATATGTATGATGACTATTATTGCTATAAATATTTTCGAGAAAAAAAGAATTTTTCATTTATTATATCGTACAAAAAAAAATTTTCTTTGAGGCTTTGGCAAATATTAACGTTTAACCAATTTCGTGTATTTGTTTTTTTTTATGTGGGAACGCGGAAATAGTGTCACCTCTATTTTTTATTATGTTCTGATTTACATCATAGACCCTGTCCATTCATTCATATATATTCATTCAATCTATATTTACATGCACATACATGCGAATGCTTTATTATAATCATCAGATTGTTAAAACTTTAATAATAAGGCTTTTAAATTAATTATAATAAAAACACATCATCATAACATCATCATAACATCATGTCACTTTCTCTTCATCAATCACTTTAGAATAGTTTACTACTACTATTACCAATAAAGTTTCGCAAGAACCTTTAAACTGTACACTTTCATCATCACATAATACGTTTTATTTATTTTATTATATTATTTATTCTCACAAATAAAATAATAAATAATAATAAATATTTGTGAGAATAAAAAAATTAAAAGATGCATATGGCCTGATCAACATCTAGTACAAAAAAAGCATGAAAAAAAGTGGGGTAAAATATAATCACAAAAATAAAAATCAGGTTTTTTTCAATTTTATAAATTTATTAAACTTATTTATTTAATTAAATTAAAAAATCTGATTTTGATCATGTGAATTAGAAATTTAAGTGAACATTAATTGGTGTTTGTAATAAGTTCGTACTATCCTTCTTTTTCACTGGTCTCGCTTTGATATTAAAATAATTTTTTTATTTTTCAGTCTGATCCTTTGTTTCTTTATTTTCAGCTTTCATCTCCTTTAGCTTTCTTCTCATTGTTTCAGCTAACGATCTGGCTTGGCATTGGTTATTCGTGTTAAGCCTTTTACTACTTTTATTCTTTTGATTCTCATCATCTTTTAATATTAGAGGACCCTGCACATCCATCACATACAGAGGTCATACGGTGCATCTATATATGTCATCTAAAAAAAATAGTCAAGGTTTAAAATGCCAAGGATCTATGAATGAAAAATTTCAATAAAAAAGAAAAAAGTTACAAGTTTAAAAATTACTATGAAAAGTTGATTTCCAGGAAATTTTTATTATTATTATTTATTAAACAAATAACGCAATCTACCATTCAACAAAAAGATATAATAAATAAGTTAAGCATCGGAGCCTGCCTATTCTTCAAAGAGTTAGTTTTTACTATTGAAAAAATGATTGGCAAAATTGTCATACTGTATATGAATCTATCGGATAAGAATTAGAGGATCTACGTAATAAAAAATTTGACGCAATTTATTAATTTATTATTACGCAAGCAAAAAAATTTTTATTCTTTTTTTAACTTATTTTATGGAACCGCGTAAAATTTCTGGCAAAAAAAAAGACCATAAAATTTCCCAACACTAAGATGTTTAATTTTGACCAAATTTCAGACATCTAAGTTTTGCTAGAGATCAACAGGAAACTTGCATTTCCTTGTGTGACAAACTATTATGCAATCTACCACTTAATATTAATTGGTACACCCAATGACTGCGTTTACAGATCCGAAATTGTAAGAGGAGCTAGTAGTACCACAGAGCAAGCAATGAATTGAATCAGCAAACATTAGTTATCTGACCTAACCAAGTATACTAACAACCAGCATTATAATTTCAAGTGTAGAATGAAGGGATAGAAGCAATAGTTTGTCTTGGTAAACATTAGTTGCCCAATATAATCAAGTCTATTAATGATGAGACATACCATCCAAGAATTTGTCTAGGGAACTAAAAAGACATATCAAAAGTGCCATGTCCTGAATTAGGTTACTATTGCTTTTGTAGTATTGAGTTATACTTTTTGGTAAAACCAATAAAGAATAATACTTTCAAAAAGAAATTAAAATCTTTACTGCTTGTAAACATAAAACTTGTTACATAAATTATGAATAATAATAATAATAATAACAATGATGATGATTATTATGGTTATAATTTTGATTTTTCAATATTTGAATTATGATTATTGTTGCTGTCTAATTTAACATTATAGCCAGCTATAGGAAACCAAATAACTACATCAATGCCAGTTTTATCAACATCAATTGGTCTTATAGCAATATTTCTATCGCTAATATTCAAAATGGTACCCTTAACAGGTACTTTACCATAATCATCAGGTGAAATAATAACTTTATCACCAATTTTTTTATTTCCTAATTTCTTATTACCATTATTATAATAATATGATGATGGTTTAAAATTTTTAGCAATTTCCAGTGCTTCCTCACCAGAAATTTTTAAAGGTTTATGTTGTTGATTTTCTTTAATAAATTTGATAAATCTATTAAACCATTGATGAGTTTTAGGATACAATTCAGAAATATTTTCAAATTCTTTTGCATTTTTAGTAAAATTTAAAAACCAAATATTCATTGCAACATGAATATCACCAATACTTGGTGTATTTGTATCTAAAAACCATTGTCGATCATCTGATAATTGTAATTCAATCCATTCATAATTTGATCTCAGTGTATCAAGAATAAATGGTCGAAACGATTTTAATTTATTGGGTTCAATTTTCTTATTCATCAATAAAGATCGGTCATTTAAAAATTCTTGAGATTTGAAAATTGTTGATGTGTTTGGATCTTCAGGAATTAGCATTATGGTAGAACTTGCTTGGAAAAAATATCTCTATTACATTAAAACAAAATTAGTTATCATAATAACTTGGAGAAAATAAATTGAAATAAATAAATACATCTGTCCACATTGCCATAGCATATCCAAGTCCTTTATCACTTTTATTTGATTTAATTCTTTTAGGAAATAATGATGGTTCAGGATACCTAAATTTTTATTATTTTTACAAATAAATTAATTTTATTCTTCAAGTAGTTGTTTGTTTTATTCATTGCATACCTTCTTTCCAATTCTTCTATAATTAAAAGTGTATCAACAAATATATCTGATCCAATCTGAAGAACTGGTATACGTCGATATCCATGAGTTAAAGGTTGCAACAATCTAAAATAATTGCTTGTTAATGAATGGATTATTAAAAATATTAAAAATATTTATATTTATATTTATTTACGGTCTTGGCATAATTATTGGTACATTCACTGAAATCCATTTTAAATGTTTAATTGTTAAAGCCCATATAATTTTTTGTGAGTATGGTGAACCTTTAATTTTAAATTTTAAATTTTAAATTTGTTTTTAATATTATTATTATTACAAAAAAACTTTTTTCTTCTTCCCATATAGATTACCTTCATAATGGTGTAAAATAATAGGAAGTTGCTGTTGATTGATGAAATTCATTTTTTTTCAAATAGAAAATCAGTAAGTTCCAATTTCGGAATAGATATTCTTATTTGTGTAAACCCCTTTTTGAAAGGAATTATTTTTTCTATAAACCTAATTCATTATTTGGGAAGCGTGAGAAAGACTGCAGATAATACTTGATAAAAACACCTACTGCGCAATTATTTTAGTCAGGTACTTTCCATAAATAGTACATATTTCCTAATTTAATTGATTAGCCAAGTTTTTAACTCCTTCCTTTCCTTAAAAAACAATATTTAACGCGCAAAGTTGTTTTTTGGCGGGTTTATCAGCCAAATTGCTGCATTTGAAAATTAATCATTTCTTTTTTGTCATTACGACACCATATGCGGACGATTTCCTTTTCTATTTGTGAATTGATACAATTTTATACCATTTTTTTTTGCCAACAACAATTAACATAAAATTATATCCATACAAAAGCTTACAACATTTTCTATATTCTCAACAACTCATAGTTTTGAATAAGTAAGTATAGCTTTACATTGAGGGCCTCTATCAATATGGGGGACTTTTCATTAGAAAGCTATAATGGTACAGTTTTATTTTGATTAATAATGATATTTTGAATTTATTATATATTAACACTATTAGTATCATTATCAGATATTTTGGAATTAGTTTTTATTTGAATTTTATTTATTTTTATTTTTTAATTGAATAATTACACGATTAATAGAAACCGCATAATATGTTGTACATGACATTTAATGGGGTTGCAGGTATGGATTGATAATGAATATTCATAAACATTCATTATTACCAATAATTGACTTTTTGTTATCACAGATGGATGTTTTGTCAACAATCAAAGCAATAAATAAGGCTACGACCGGAAATAACCATATCCATATAACTTCAGTGCAGGATGCACCAACAAAGAAAAGCAAGAAATGGGGAATCGATCTTTACATTCATGTCCTAAATCCCCATCAACCGGACCACTACTATATTCTGAATCACCATTAATTGATGAAAATTATTTCATTAACGAGCCTTTTGTATTTGACGCTGATATTAAGTTACATACGTATTGTACTGCAGTAAATCAGGTTGACGATTTATTTATGTTTTTACCCACTAGATAAAATCTAACATTAAGAAATTACGGATTAATATGACCAAAGAAACAAAATTTCAATGTTGTACATGGTTTTCCTGAAAAACAGTTAAAGGGATAGTTTATGTCAGGAAATTTTAAAATCATTAAAGTTTATATACCGGTACATTACAATTAATATGTCATTCGTTATCCCCTCAACTAAAAATGCATCAAAATAATCCTAGGGTTTAATTGATGCATGTAGATCGCTCTTATATTATTACTTTATAAGGACCTATATAAAAAGTTGTACCCACAGAATATCTTACTAAAATGGCAAGGTAGTTTCCTTTTTGATTCATTTTTTTAATTCGTGATAAACGGAAAGGATCGACATACATAAAGTTAATATTAATAATATTAATAATAAGAAAAAACGTCCCACATGCAAGAGAAAGAAAGTAAAAGCGAGATATAACAATAATTGTTACAATTAGAATTGTTCATTATTTAAAATTTTTTAATAATATATTAATATATCATGATTAGAAAGGTTATATCCGTTAGATAGTATTGGTATCCGTGAATATTAATATCCGTGATTATTCGGGTATTACTATTAATATCATCATCACCATCATCATCATCATCACCATCATCATGATCATATTAATATTACGGTTGATCGAATATTAAAATATTAATATTAATATATGAATATCCGCGACTATACAAAAAAATTAACAAAAGATGAAGTATGTATTAGTATAATAAATTAAAATCAAATTAATTATTTAGTTATCATCCTACTTCATGTTAGACGAATTAGAATGGGATCCATTTATCTGGTGGAGAAACAAAAAAATAATTTTTCCCACATTAGATAAAATTACAAGAAAGTATTTATGTGTATCTGCCACTTCTACACCAAGTAAACGGTTATTCAGTGAGACTGGTAACACATCGACAGTTAAAAGGACAAAGCTCAATCTAATTCTTTGCATGAATAGTTTTTATAAGTAAAATAAGGTAGAAGTTATCTTTTATTGTTGCTATAAAATCTTGATAATTTTTTTATCTGACTACAGTCAAACCTCGGTTCAACGAATCTACGGGGACACACAAACTTATTAATCGCGCTTCAACAAATTTTATATGCGAAGCAAAAATTCGTTTTAATGCTTGAAACGAGGTTTGACTGTATATTTAATATTAATATTAATACTGACGGATACTGACGGATATTCGGATATCAAAAATTCTGTGAAAGGATGATCGACAAATATCCGAATATCCGACGGATATAACCACTATTACTATTCATGGGGCATTATTAAACTTATAATCTGTACGATTTTGGTTTTGATTTTTGATTTTAATATTAATTTAAAAAATTTATATAATTAATCGGTTATTAACCGGTTAAGGGCCTCTAAATAGTCCAAGAAACAATGGCCCCAACCCCAAAAACAATGCGCAAGACATACAATTAAATTAAAAGAATTGAAGTCCATTTTGGTATATACTTCAAAAGATAACTCTGTAATTGCATAATAATAAGGTTGTGGCTCATGACTGAGAGAACTTGGGTAAATTTTTTATCAAATAAATTTATTATATAACAAACAAAAAAAGAAACAATACATTTATCAATCGGCTAAATCCCTTAGCCGGCTGACATCGCTAATTCTGTTTTAGAAAATTTGCTCTCAAGTCTTGTAGGTTTCTAGATGCTTATAGAATGGATTAACGGCTTTATATGCAGTAAAAGATATGAGTATTTGACTGTTATAAATTTTTTATAACAAACAATATAACAAATATTACTTGAAATCGTATAATTATTATATAAGATTTTTATAACAAGCCGTCCATTACTAGATATAAATCTCATTGCAAAATTCCAAGTAATTAAGAGAATTTCAAAAATTACATGACTTCAAAAAAAAAAAAAAGAATTTCCTTGTCGTTTTGGTGTTAATAATAGACTTCACGCACCATAGTGAAATACATATAAAGGAACAACAAATATTTTTTTTGAAAAATCTTTCCATTACATTAAAGCTAGAGAGAGACCTATTAAAATTTTAACTAGTTCTTGAGTTCTATATATACTTTTAGAGGTAATACAAATTTTAGAAGGTCTTTAAAGGTTCCGCATCATAGTAAGAATTGTTACAGCTGCTGCAGTATCTGTATAGTTTCGGGTCACATTGTTGCCTCTACAATTTTGACCAGTGAATTCATTTGTAGTGTCGAGTTATATTTTTCGGTAAAACCAATAAAGAATAATACTTCCAAAAAAGAAAAATTAAAAATCTTTACTGCTTAAATTATGAATTATAATAATAGTAACAATGATGATGATGATGATAATTTATAATTTTGATCTTTCAATATTTGAATTATGATTATTGTTGCTGTCTAATTTAACATTATAGCCAGCTATAGGAAACCAAATAACTATATCAATGCCTGTTTTTTTATCAACATCAATTGGTCTTATAGCAATATTTCTATCGCTAATATTCAAAATGGCACCCTTAACAGGTACTTTACCATAATCATTAGGTGAAATAATAACTTTATCACCAATTTTTTTATTTCCTAATTTCTTATTACCATTATTATAATAATATGACGATGGTTTAAAATTTTTAGCAATTTCCAGTGCTTCCTCACTAGAAATTTTTAAAGGTTTATGTTGTTGATTTTCTTTAATAAATTTGATAAATCTATTAAACCATTGATGAGTTTTAGGATACAATTCAGAAATATTTCCAAATTCTTTGGTGGCATCTTTAGTAGTATTTAAAAACCAAATATTCATTGCAACATGAATATCACCAATACTTGGTGTATTTGCATCTAAAAGCCATTGCCAATCATCTGATAATTCTGATAATTGTAATTCAATCCATTCATAATTTGATTTCAATGTATCAAGAATAAATGGTCGAAGCGATTTAATTTATCGGGTTCGATTTTCTGATTCATCAATAAAGATCGGTCATTTAAAATTTGAAAATTGCTGGTGCGTTTGGATCTTCAGGAATTAGTAAAATTTGCTTGGAAAAAATATCTCTTTTATTTCGGACCCGGACACTTTACCGACACCCACTTTACAGACAGACACCCGCTTTACCAACAAGACACTTTATCGACAGGACACTTTACCGACAAGTATTTTGTTAACAATTTGCCAAGGACTGTGTGAAGATCTGGATAACTAGCCAAAAGTTTGGTTTTTTACAAGTTAAATCAACCGTTAATTAACTAATAACACCACTTATTATCCTTATTTTACATCAAAAACCAGTTCATAAAAATGCAATATAGATAGATACATGTGTAATGTATTTTTTTTTTTGTCTGACGAAATTGATAAAAATTGCATATTCATTTATTTTATTTACAAAAAACTTTTATTGTGATACATTAATTATTATTATTTTTTTAAAAAAAATAACAAAAAAAAATTTTAAAATGAAATATTATGGACAATGCCCCAAAGAAACTTTATGGTTGATCTAATGTTACGGTCATTTAATACTGTTTGAATCCGTATTTCACGATTACGATTTTGTAGTTTCTGTGGGGGTCGTGGTGTTCATCGCAAGACCATTTCTACGTCAAGTTCGATTTTACTTTGATTGTCGGTAAAGTGTCCCGTCAGTAAAGTGTCTGTCGGTAAAGTGGGTGTCGGTAAAGTGTCCCAGACCCCTTTTATTGAATACTTTTATTTGTTATTTACGGTCTTGACATGACTAGTAGTACGATCGCCGAAATCCATTTTAAACGTTTAATTGTTAAAGCCCATACAATTTTTCGTGAAAATGGTGAACCTTTAGTTTTAATAATATTTATTTTATTATTTAAATTATTACAAAAAAAATTTATTTCCTTCTTCCCCGCATAGATTACCTTTATAATAGTGTAAAATAATATGAGGTTGTTGTTGATCGATGGAATTCTTTTTCTTTTAATACTAATTCATCATGTATTTGTATATTAATATAGAAAATTTTTGAGTAATTCGTATATAATTTGCCAAATAAAATACAAATTTAGTCAGAAGAAGAACAATAAATAATAGATTTTGTGATAAAGTTTTTTATATACATAGTATAGTGAGTGATAAAAGGACTACAGTCGAACCCTCGTTTCAACGGATTTTTGTTTTTACCCCTTGATTTATTAATTATTATTATTTATTTTGACCTGTTCGGCACGCCATACATAGTACGACAAAAATACTATAGAGATAGTCTAACTTCTTAATCTAATAGTTTTATTTTTTATTTTTTAAATTAGAATCGAATTATAAATGCAATCTGTGTCAACATGATTATGAAATCATATCTGGTTTTTGGAGTTCTTACTATTACAAAAATAATAGAAGAGGATGGGTGAAATTTGTTCTAGTTTGTCATGAAGCTGTATTTATTCAAATCAGGGATGCGAACGGTCGGTTCGGTTCGGTTTCAGTTTTAAAGTCGCGGTTTTCAACCAAAACCGACCGATGCTATATGAAAAAAATCCGAATCACAAAACTACATAAATAACATAAGTTAATTTACGATTCAGGTTGTGAATGATTTTTTGTATTAATTAATAGGACTTTAGGCTATGGTTTCTATTTGAATTATTCGTTATTATTCTATGATCTTCGTCGCGCTAACCAAATATTTACATTACTGGCGCTAATCAAGATAACTTTTTTAAACACATTAAAGATAGTGATATTTATCACACTAACCAAATACTAAAAATCGAACAAATAGTTCATTTTATTATTTATTATTATCATATGGAGAAGTTTAGTTACCCAAGAAAAACAGAAAATTCCTTCCTAAAAATCAAGTTTAAAAAAACAATGATTATTTGTAAGCTTGCTCATATCCATCCCTCTTCTCAATTCTTGAGCTCTGCAGAAAAGAGAAAGATATTATTGTTTATAATCGGTTTGGAATTGTAGAGCCTCAGATTTTCCAAAAAAGTGATTTTTTCAAAATTTTTTAGCAAATGATTATTGCTTCTAAAACACACTAAACAAAAAAGAATAATGAAGTGCGATACTGACCGATTCCAAAAAAGAATAATGAAGTGCGATACTGACCGATTCCAATCAATTTCTAACTAATTATCCTATCAAAAAGTAATTAATTGACAGAATAATTCATGTAACGTTGGGTACCTCAATGTAACGTCACTTTAAATAATAGCAGGAGAACATCTAAATTCTACAGGCGTGAAGAAATTCATTAAAAAAATAGGGGTGAAAGTAGGAAAAATTAGGGTTTAGCTATTTTATTTTATCAAACTTAAACTTATATCAAGCAGAACGATTAGTTGATCGGTTTTCTATCGGTTTTTTATCATATAAAACCGACGGTTAACCGGTCAGTTTAAGACCAAAACCGAACCGTGACTGAAACTGATAAAAAACCGGTTATAACCGGTTGCAACCGAACTTTTGGCATACCTAGCGGAGGAGATGTAGAAGGAAATAAAAATTGTAGATGGTAGAGTAAATGAGACAATATGCAATGCAATAAGGTGAACGTTATGTTTAAATAGGATTTAGGTAACAATAATATTCTTCTAATAAAAATTTACATTTAATTTTTCATCAAATTATACCAATTATACTTAATGTTAATGATTATTACGGCAAAACGCGTTGAAACAACTTCAAAATTACTTTACAGAAACCTTCAATATCTAAAAGATGTATTAAAGACACTTTTAATATGTATTTGCGATATAAAGAAGATATCTTCAAGACTTTGTTGAAGAAATTAATTAAAATAATAACTTTTTTAGATCTAAAAAATGTCCTAAAGATTATTTTAAGATATTTAAAAGACATTCGCATTTTTACAGATTTTAATTTGACTCAATTTTTTTTCTAATTTTTTAAAAACATTAATATTATCTATATAATATATCTTAACATTATCTCGATGACATCTTAAAGATATTTGATTTAAATGTACATATTTTTTATTATTTTAATAATAGATTTATTTACATTACATTGAACTTTTTAATAATGGATAATTTAAATGTGATAAGCAATTAAAATACAAGACTGTAATTAACGATTTATTTTAACAATCCTGATCTTCTTTGTTTTCTTGATCATCATATTCACTTTCGTCACTTTCATCATTTATACCCTGTAAAAAATGCCACTCCAGAATATTTCCATTATATCTCCGTGATCATGTTTATCACTCCGTAAATGTTCAGTTTATTTCATAAAAGCGGCAATCTGTTGAGTAAGCAATCCGGATTTTTTTCCGTGATGTCATTTATATTAATATAAGGACATTTGTAAATGTGGAATTAAAACGGAATGTGAGAAGATTTTATAGCTCTGAAATATTATTAATTAATAAACTCGCAAATAAAAGTGGGCATTTTTTTTTACAAAGCATTTTATTTGTTAAATATAAACTTGATTAAACAAATACCTAATACTAATATACTAATACGGAAATCACACGGAAATACATTATTATTATTATTATCTAGTCGCATGACATTTCCCAAAATAATAAAATTGATCTGCATCATAGTAAAATTTTTTGACGCGTCCAAATGCAAATAATTATATTGTCATGAATATTTATAATATTTATACAGTTTAAAATTTTTCTTTTACATTTAATTCCTACATAAATAATACGATTAAAA